ACGGAAGCCCCTCTCCCACGACATGCATTTCTGAGATAGGAAGACAGGAGGTGTGTCATCCCCCAGCCATAAAACAATTGGTACGAATACTAGTTTGTTGAGGTATTATCAACCCAAGGTTTGAGAAAAGAAAAAAGTTAGTCTCAGGTGGAACCATTTTGAAGAAAGGCAAATTCCAAAGCAAATATATAGTTTCATGAACATAGCTTAAGAAAAACATTTCCACAGAGAAACCACCTTTTAATTTTGTATGGAAAAGGAAAAAGAAATTTGACACTTGTAGTTTATTTCCTCCTGCAGCTTAAGGGAGAGATAAAAAATGTCTGACACTTGCAGACTATTTCCTCCATTTGGAGACCCCTGGCCTTCCTGTCTGTTACCCTCTCACTGCAAGAGGTTTGTGAGATGATGCCCCACAACGCGTCAGGGTGAAACAAGGAGAAGGGCCGGTAGGGTAGAACGTCCTGCTGGGTAGAACATCCTGCTGGGTAGAACGTCCTGCTGGGTAGAACATCCTGCTGGGTAGAACGTCCTGCTGGGTAGAACGTCCTGCTGGGTAGAACGTCCTGCTGGGTAGAACATCCTGCTGGGTAGAATGGACACCAGCATCACCCCTCATGTTGCAGGGGGCCTGGCCCTGAGGCCGCACAGTATTTCAGAGCTGAAGGGAAAATGTTGATGACCAGTGCTAATGAGAAACAGGAAGCAAGGGAAAGAGTAGAAGAGTCGAGTGCGTGGGAGGAGAGGTGAGGGGATCGTCTCCCACTGGGGGTCGTCTCCCACTGCAGCGCCCTCCGCGAGGATGAGGGCCTCCTGGAAGCCGTGTTCAGGTGGGAACGCGGGGGCCTGGCTCTCCCGAGCCCTCTCTTCAGTGGCCAGGCAGGTGAGGACAGGGAGGAGGTCAGGACAGTGGAGAAGGAGTCAAGAGAACACCTCATGAGCCCATTTATTTCCATCCCTCCAGCCTTTCCTTTTTCCCTCTGGAGACGATTCTTTGAATTTGTGGGAGAATTAAAGATTACTCGTTAAAAATGGACTAAAGTGTCGAATTCATAGCTCTTTCACACTCAGCTCTTTGTAACTTGTTAGGAGTTCCTGTCTGAATTCCAAAACAGAACTTCTTTTCTAATTTCTGACAATGGTATTTTCATTCATTTAAAAACTCTGCTTTTAAAATGAAAACATGGTGCTTACTTTCCACACAGAGTTGCTCTTTCAGCATGATTGCAGCCTAACAAGAAGAGGGTTGATAAAATGTTCACTGCCTCTAGTCAGTTCATCCCTTTCCTCTTCTTTGCTCTTGTTTGGAGTAAATGTGTTCATCTCCTGACATGAACCATGATTACTGTCCATCAGTCATGACAACACCAGACCTTTGGCCAGTGTTTGGTGTAGAGGTGAGCACATCTTCCCACCCTGGCTAATGAGGTGTCATGGAACATGAGATGGGGTTTTCTGGGTAAAACCTCCCTCATAGAGAAAGAGACCAGCACAAGATAGAAGGCACTCTTGACTCCTATACTGTCTGTTTTAAGTAATATTATGTGGGAAGTGGATGATTTAAGTTCCTGCAATCATTTTGTGACCATGAGGAGAAAGGTAAGAAAATACCAGAGTTGTTGAGCCAGCTCCCTGGCATGGCTGAGTCACAGAATCAGTCCTGCAGCAGTCTTCCTTCAGACTTTTTGTTTCTAAGCCATTCTTAGTCAGGCATTCTGTTATTTGAAACCAAAAGTTTCTCAGCGTGTATGTTTGATCATGGGGTCCAACCACCCAGGATTTGCAACCTGGCTTACATTTCAAATGGAAGAGCAATGTGTCCCAGAGTCTCCTGGATTTGCTGCTGGTCCCCCTGAGTGAAGTGATGTTAAGTGAAAGCCACTCAGTCGTGTCCGACTCTTTGCGACTCCATGGACTATTCAGTCCTTGGAATTCTCCAGGCCAGAATACTGGAGTGAGTGTATCCCCTTCTCCAGGGGATCTTCCCAACCCAGGGATTGAACCGAGGTATCGCAGTAGAGCAGGCAGATTCTTTACCAGCTGAGCCACAGTTTCCCCTAAGAAGGTAGTGTATTTCCTAATTCTAAGCCAAGGTTTCTCATCCTGGCCTACCTTTGACACACACACACACACACACACATACAGAGAAAGAAAAGTAGTGGAGAGAGATGATTTTTCCACCCGAGACAGAGCAATTATATTTTCCTACTCTTTTGTTTACAATTTTAAGCACAGGACATAATCTCCTAAACTTGAGATAGCTGCTGAAGAACCCGTTTCAAACCAGTGCCTCCCCTAAAAAGGAATCCACTTCCATCTCCTGTTTTCCTGGCATAATACATTTGGGCTGTGTGGTTCATATGATGGAAAAGTCAACATTTTAGGGGTGTTAGCTTTCACTGTGCCCTGGCATGGATTCATCCCCTCATTGTTTTCTTGACTCTCCCGATTAGCAACTTTTTGTTCTCAACTCCAAATTCACCTCTGAGGCCCCGTTTTCTCCTCGACTGTGACCGCGGTGTTGGAAAAGCACCTTTGCAGGGGCTTTTCTCCTTCGCGCTGACCGCAGTGTTAGGCTTTGCCAGGAGAGGGCGCCGGTGGGTCATCGCAGGAGGAAGCAGCTCCGCTTGCCGTCTCCAGTTGCCGTAGTCCCATAGGTGGCTGCGGCGGGGACGTCTGTAGGTCTCTGTCCCAGCCCTGCGCCTAGACTGCACACACCCTGGCCTGTTGGCCGCCTTTCTGGAGCCGTCCCAGTGCAGACACACACCCTGGCCTGTTGGCCGCCTTTCTGGAGCCGTCCCGGTGCAGACACACACCCAGGCCTAGCATTAGCTCACCTGTGAGTGGACTCTGGGCACTGTGACCCCTCTGCGCCCTCTGTCAGCCTGCACCCTGGAAGGCAGCTTCCTGCTTGCCTTTCGCCAGTGTACCAGCTCCGCCTGGACATCCGGGTGAACCTCTCCGTCATCCAGTCGTCTGTAACCACACCGTCTCCAATGAGGTCTGAATCCCAGCCTCGGGGAGGTGTGTCCTTCCTTGAGCTCCCTTTGGGCGCCCTGCGAGTCCTTGTTACATATTTACAATGACATAACCATTCTTTATATTAACCCTCTCATCCTGTTCTGGGGCAGGCAATTCTTTCCCCAACTTGCCATCTCTCATCAGATTTCTGTCTCCTGATTGCACCCAGACTGGTGTCTTGAGTTTCAGAGTTAAGAGGTACTTGGGATAAGACTTTATGTTGCAAGTTGGAGAATACATATCTGCGTGAGGTGGTTAGGCTCCTTGCCGCTAAGTGGAAGTCTCTTGGGGACTGAGTTGGCAATGCGGGGGTGCAAGTGTGTGTGGAGGCCTAAGGGGCACTGCAGGCAGGCGGTTGCTGATTTCTTCAGAAGCAAACAGGCACTGCCAAGGGCGCTACAGAGGACCCTCCCCTCCTTGTGGCTTCCTGGCCAAGCGCCTGGGAACTGCCAGTTCAGTTGGATAAAAATGCTAGGAAAGAGTCTAAACTTTCTCTATCAGCATTCCAAGGAGTGTGCTTAGGAATCTGCATTTAAGTGCACAATAGAGTATGCCCACACTCTTGTGCCCACAATAAACATTATGCCCACACAGAGTGTGCCCTAGGGATCTGAAGTTGAAAGCCCTCCTAAGGGGATCTTTGGGCTTTCCTGTTGGCTCAGATGGCAAAGAATCTTCCTGCAATGCAAGAGACCCTGGTTTGATCCCTGGGTCGGGAAGATCCTCTGGAGAAGATGGCAACACATTCCAGCATTCTTGCCAGGGAAATCATATGGACAGAGAAGCCTGGTGGGTTTGAGTCCATGGGGTCATGAAAAATCGGGCACGACTGAGCAACTAACACACAAGGGGATCTTTAGGCACAGAAAAAGCACTTGTCTCCCTGCTGGGGGAAGTGCCTCCACCAAAGGCCCTTTCAAGAGAGGAGGCAGCACCTGGAGAAGGTGCTGAGATGTCAGCTGGGCCCTGTGTGGCCCTGGGCCCTGGGGATGCACTTTCACAGAGGTGGGCATCCTATGTCAGGGATGCTCCAGCTGTGAACACTACTTAGAGACCTTGGACATGGAACGTCCCCTGGTCCTTCAGTTATCAAAGGATGCTGTGACCATTAAGCCCTTGGCCACAGCAGCACCCTCTCCCCCCAAATATGGGGATTCAGGTTGGGAGAGAACAAACTCTAGGCTCACTGAAATCCTTCCTTCCATGTGGCCCTTAGCTGTCTAGGTCTAGTATCCTGTTTCTCCATCCTGAATCCTTGCAGGGTGTACAGTCGGGCAGCAGTGGCTGAAGGTTTGATGGCTGTTTAGTGATATTGCAGGTGACATTTTTTGTCCACGTTTTTGTAAGTTAAAATGAAGCCATAAGTGCAGACCCTAATCCTGTGTGACAGTGTCCTTAAGAATAGGAGACTTAGGACAGGGACAGAAACAGAGCAAATGTGAAGAGATGGAGAGACAATAAGTGTGAAGATGGCCACATACAATCCAAGGAGAGAGGCTGAGAGTAGATCCTTCCCTCACGGTCCTCAAGGGGAGCAAGCCTGCAGACAGTCTCATCCTGGACTTCTGGACTGCAGACTGTGAGACTATGCCTTCCTGTGTCTGAACCCCTGGTCTGTGGGAATCGGGCAGGGCTGGAAGGCTGACACAGGCCTATCTCCAAATCTACCTCCTGCCCTTGTTGACTAAAGAAAACAGGCACAACCTAAAGTGGAGAGCTGTGTTTTATTTGGTGGGAATTTTTAGGACTTCAGTAACTTCCCTGGTGGCTCAGATGGTAAAGTGTCTGCCTGCAATGCAGGAGACCTGGGTTCTATCGCTGGGTCGGGAAGATCCCCTGGAGAAGGAAATGGCAACCCACTTCAGTACTCTTGCCTGGAAAATCCCATGTATGGAGGAGCCTGGTGGGCTACAGTCCACAAGGTCGCAAAGAGTCGGACACGACCGAAAAACTTGACTCTCTCTGTCTCTCTCTTTTAGGACTTCAAGCCCTGGAAACAGCATCACAAATGACCCTGGGAGAACTGCTCCAAGGAGGTGAGGGGAGGAGCCAGGCTATATGGAAGTTTGCAACAAGGGGTGGGTAGTCTGAATATCAAATGACTATTGTTAATTAAGGAAAATCAGATATCTCAAATTAAGGAATTTAGCACTCTTCAATATACGGGAAGATACAAGTGTCTGGGCTTACTGAAAGCACTCCTTTCATATGCATCTCAGCTGTCTGGGGCCAGCATCCTGCATCTTTTCAGATACTCCACCACCACCCCCCCAGACCCTCAGTACTAGCCCAGTGGGGGCAGCCCCATGGCTGCCAGGTAGTAGGCACTCTTCTTCCCGGGCACCCTCAGGGCTCAGAAACTCACATCCAGAGGGCGGAATCACTGATAGCTGGGACATCCTTATTTATGGATATGGCAGGAAATGCTTCATCTCTTGAGACTTGGTCTCATGGTCTGCTAAGATAGGAACCCAAACCATGAAGACCAGCTGTCCTTTCATCCCTGCAACAAATGTGGAGGTGGGCTTTGTAGTCATCTTCATTAACAGGTCAGCAAAGTGAGGCCCACAAAGATAAGGGGAGGGGCGCGTGGCGTTCAGTTTTGCGTAAATCCCACCCCTTGCTCTTTCCCATGCTGCCCCTGCCCAAAGCCTGTGGCTGATCTCATTCAGGGACACTTTCTGTTCCCTTCGGACTTGGAACTTGTGACTGGCCTCAATGAGACTTTAGCCTGGGGATTGCTTTTCTGTCAACTTGCGTGGATCAAGAAAGGCTTGGTTGTGTCTCCCAGGGAGAGCGTGATAGAACTGGCGAGGCTCTGCTTCCCTCTTCAGTGCTGGTTATGTGGCTCCAATCTAAGGCCGAAAGACAAGAGGAACATGTTTCCAGCTTCACCGCTGATGCTTTGACTCTTGGAAATGGTCGGAGACCTTCAAAAGGGGGAAAAAATAAACTTGGAATGCAGCAAAAGATGGGGAAACTAATGCCTGACCTCCCTGAACTGGAAAAGACTGTGGGTATGTCGATGACCTGTGGGGAAAGGAAGCAGGACTGAGTCCCCAAGGGAAAAGGTGGGCAGGGGTCCCAAGGTGGTGGGGGCCAGTGGGGTGGCTGGAGCCACGGTGAGCATCCCTGTGTGGGAAAGGAAGCTGGAAACACAGGTCATCACGAGGAGGCGGCCCAGGAGCCCAGTGTCTTGTCATTTCCAGGACAGGGAGATTTATCCCAGTAAACGGCTCGTGGTTCTTGGAGACAGATGTGGCCCTCGTTCAGCACCGCAGCCAGATCATCTGTTTTGCTTTTTGTTTTCCATAAATACGTCTCTCTCAATGCTGACAGGGGGAGATTTGGAAATAAAACACAAAATCGTTTTCTATGAGCGTGAAAGGCTTAATTTATTACCAACCTTTCAACCAAATGAAAATGATTTGCTTTTTTTTTTAGAGACTGTTTGCTGAACAAATGTTTTAAAAATGCAACAGATTATTGCAATTATTGTACCTACTTTTTAAAAAATTTACCAACGGATAGACAGGTGCTCTGAGAATGTTTTCATACATTTCTCTCTGAGAAGGTGGAACTTGAGATGAAATTGCCTTGGGAAGAGCTTCATGTACAGACTCTCAGTTTGCTGGTCCTGCTGCTCCTGGTGTGGTGCCTGCGATAAGCCTCGAGATGGGCACGGCGTAGTTGCCATGATACACTCACTCTTTTTTTTTTTTTTTAAATTTTTTATTAGTTGGAGGCTAATTACTTTACATCATTACAGTAGTTTTTGTCATACACTGAAATGAATTAGCCATGGATTTACATGTATTCCCCATCCCAGTCCCCCCTCCCACCTCCCTCTCCACCCGATCCCTCTGGGTCTTCCCAGTGCATCAGGCCCGAGCACTTGTCTCGTGTACCCAACCTGGGCTGGTGATCTGTTTCACCCTAGATAATATACATGTTTCAATGCTGTTCTCTTGAAACATCCCACCCTCGCCTTCTCCCAGAGTCCACAAGTCTGTTCTATACATCTGAGTCTCTTTTTCTGTTTTGCATATAGGGTTATCGTTACAATTTTTCTAAAGTCCATATATATGTGTTAGCATACTGTAATGGTCTTTATCTTTCTGGCTTACTTCGCTCTGTATAATGGGCTCCAGTTTCATCCATCTCATTAGAACTGATTCAAATGAATTCTTTTTAATGGCTGAGTAATATTCCATGGTGTATATGTACCACAGCTTCCTTATCCATTCGTCTGCTGATGGGCATCTGGGTTGCTTCCATGTCCTGGCTATTATAAACAGTGCTGTGATGAACATTGGGGTGCACATGTCTCTTTCAGATCTGGTTTCCTTGGTGTGTATGCCCAGAAGTGGGATTGCTGGGTCATATGGCAGTTCTATTTCCAGCTTTTTAAGAAATCTCCACACTGTTTTCCATAGTGGCTGTACTAATTTGCATTCCCACCAACAGGATACACTCACTCTTACACTGTTTACAGGGTTGCTGTTGGCCTTCTCGTCTGGTTCATGGGGTCCGTGATCTGTCAGGATCCAGAGGAGAAATACATTTTAGATTTCACCCACAAGAAAAGCAGTAATGCTCTTGAGGGTGTGGCCTTCCCTGATAGCTCAGTTAGTAAAGAATCTGCCTGCAATGCAGGAGACCCCAATTTGATTCCTGGGAAGATCCCGTGGAGAAAGGAAAGGCTACCCACTCCACTATTCTGGCCTGGGGAATTCCATGGACTGGATAGTCCATGAGATCACAAAAAGTCAGACATGACTGAGTGACTTTCACATTCTAGAGGGTGTAGGACACGTTTGTCTTATAGATTCTGTGAATCTTGAAGACGATCACCTTTCCTCTTGTTACCATATCCGGGAAGCTTACAACCAAGTTTGTGGTTCCTGTTTAATAGATGTGTAGCATCTTTGGGGCAAATTTTTGTTGCTGATCCAAATGGGTCCACTTGCCCATAAGCAATAAAGTCAATTTACTGACACTGGGTTGTGGTGAAGGAAAATCCGGCATTTATCACAGTGCTCTGTGTAAGGAGTCTGAGAAGGCCAATGCTCAGAAAGCCTTTACTCCCAGATGGATTTGAGAAAAGCCTTTTTAAAGACAAGGTGGGGTTTTCCAAGTGGTGCTAGTGGTAAAGAACCTGCCTGCCAATGCAGGAGACGTAAGAAGTGAGGGTTCAATCCCTGGGTCGGGAAGACCCTCTGGAGGAGGGCATGGCAACCCACTCCAGTAGTCTTGCCTGGAGAATCTCACTGATGGAGGATCCTGGTGGGTTACAGTCCATAGGTTTGCAAGGAGTTGGACATGACTGAAGCGACTTAGCACTCATGCACCAGGGAAGGGGGTCACAGGGTTTGTGATCAGCTTGTGCACAGTTCTCTGATTGGTTGATAGGTAACAAGGTGGTGTCTCAGGGGTTAACATGAGCAACTCTTAGGTGGGGATAGGTCTGGGGGCAGGTCTGGGGGCAAGTCTGGGGTTACCACTCATGGTCATCAAGTAAATTTCTTCCTCTTGGTGCCTTGAGCATCTGTAAAGCAACTCAGGAAATGTGCATCAGATACTGTTATCTAGGCACTTCAGAGAGGAACGATGGCAGAGCATATGGGGAGGGGTCTGTCTTGAGGAGGCCCCTTCGCGTGCTACTTGATTATTTTTTGTGTGCTTTTCTATTTCATTCCTCTTTTGTCACCTCTGTGTGGTATGGTTTCTACAAGTTTCTTTGATTTATTTAGACTAAGATGCTCTAGTGGATGCTGGCTATGGTGCCTGAGTCTCCCTTTAAGACTAATGCCCTTGTTCCCCTAATTTCTGGGAGTGCTGCCTGCTGACCACTGGAATCGTGTCTCTCTCCAGGCATTGTCCTCTCTGGGTCTTAAGGGATGTGTCTCACCCGTGGCTGCACCCCTTCTCTGGAGTCAGTCTGCATCCAAAGATAGGTTGATGGGGACTGAAGGCTGGACAAACCTGCTTCAGTTAGAGATACCTCAGTTTCAGGGCCATCACAGCCTGTTTTCTGGGGAGCTTGACCAACAGCTGTTGGTGCCAACAGTGATCTGAGGAAGTAGATTCAAAAATGGGATTTGGGGGCTGGGTCACTACTGGCCAAGGGACAGTGAAAGCACCCTGCCCTGTGACAGGTGGAGTCTGATGGTCCTGGCCTGGGCACTGCTGTTCTGCACAGGCTGGGCTGGGATGGCCAGAGGAAGGTGGACACAGCACCTAAGGGAGTTTGGTAAAACTTGAAAAGTTAGAAATTATAAGGCTATTAATGGGGCTACCAATGCATCAGAGAAAGACAATGAGAGGCGGAGGGTGATTAATCAACAATGTAAAGCAAAGTATGAAAACACAATGAGCAACTGATGAGCAAGAAGATGCATGGGAGTCCTTGGTAAGACACATAAACTCCAGAGAGTGAGGGAACCTATAGAAATTCAGGAGGCTGCCATATCAGTAAAGTTTGCAGGGGTCTAGTGGTCTTACGCATGCTGTGACAGCTCCTTCAAAGAATAGAACAAGTGATTGCTTCTTGCAGAACAGGAAAGGGCTGTAGCAGTTTCAGGCTGTGGTTCAGGCTACTGAGCAGCCCCTATGGTAACTGCAATGGAAGAGCTCCCAAGTAGTGCGAGAACAATCATGTAGATACCTAGGGTTCTAGGGCAAGACCATGGCATCTGCATCAGGAATTATCAACCACTTGAGGCAAAGATCCTGACATGCAACTGGCCCTAGCAGAGGCAGTGTGTTAGTTGCTCAGTTGTGTCCGACTCTGTGACCCCCATGGACTGTAACCCACCAGGCTCCTCTGTCCATGGAATTCTTCAGGCAAGAATACTGGAGTGGGTAGTCATTCCTTTCTCCAGGGGATCTTCCCCAACAGGGATAAGAATCAGGTCTCCCACACTGCAGGCAGATTCTTTACTGTCTGAGCCACCAGAGAAACCCAGCAGAGGCAGAGCTGCTGACGTTGGATATCACCAGGTGACCGCATCTTCCCACAGTGAGTTTGGTTCCA